TGGAGTGAGGGAGGAGATTTACATTTATTCTTGTTGAATAGGATGCTGTTGGTGTTGGCCCATTGGTCTAAAACTTTGGTTTCAAACTCTCGTGGGCACCAGAGCCACCCGAAGGGCTTATTCAGACACAGATTGCTGGGGTGCCTGGGTGGCTCAGTCAGTTGAGTGTCCGATTCTCGATTTCGGTTCTGGTCGTGATCCCAGGGTTGTGGGGTCGAGCCCCATGTCGGGCTCCATGCTGACTGCGGAGCCTGCTTAAGATTCTCTCTCTCCCCCACTTGCTCTCTTTCTCTCTCTAAAATAAAACAAACACAAAAAAGCAAACAAAAGAAGAAACAAAACCCCCACAGATTTCTGGGCCGCATTCCTAGAATTGCTTCATTAAGTCAGGAATTTGCATTTCTAGCAAGTTCCCAGGTGATACTGATGGTGCTAGTCTGAGGACCACACTTCCGCCATTGGTCTAGCTAGCCTGTGGAGATCTTTGGAAGCATGATGCCATCCTCCAGATCTTAACTTCCCTCCTAGCGTGTGATCTGTATCTTCATCTAGGTCACTGACACGAGGTTGAATGGGGTGAGACTGAGGACCCAGCTTTGCAGCAAGAGGCTCCAGGCTGGCCTGGGTCCACTCGTTGGCCCTTGTAGGATAGAACGAATTTCTGTCAACGAGAAAGCCAATAGCCGTTCTTCTCAGCCAATGCATTTACCCTGTTTTCTAATTTTTGCCCTTCTGATGGGAGTGTGAGGGATGTGTAGTCTTGTTTTAATTTTCTTTAACGTTTATTTATTTTTGAGACAGAGAGAGACAGAGCATGAACGGGGGAGGGGCAGAGAGAGAGGGAGACACAGAATTGGAAGCAGGCCCCAGGCTCTGAGCCATCAGCCCAGAGCCCGACGCGGGGCTCGAACTCACGGACCGCGAGATCGTGACCTGAGCTGAGGTCGGCTGCTTAACCAACTGAGCCACCCAGGCGTCCCTTGTTTTAATTTTCTATGTCTTCAATTACTAATATGTTTGAACATTTCTTTTAATGTTTGCTAATTTCTGAGAAAGATCTATTTACAACTTTTGTTCATTTTTCCTTTCAAGTTCTCAGAGGATTTTTTTTTTTTTTGGCCTGATTAGAAGGAATTTTTACATATTTAAGGTTAACCTTTTGGCCTTTGAGATTGGATGTGCTTTACCAGTCTGAGATATGTCTGTTAACTTTCTTCATGATGTCTCTCATTGAATCAAAATCCTTAATTTCATATGATCAAATGTGTCCATATTTTTGCCTATGGATATGCCTTTAGAGTTTTACAAATTCCCCCCAATCCCTGAATTCCCCTATATTATCATTTTTATGCTTTATTATTTCCATTTCAAATTTAGGTATCATCAGACCCATTGGATTTCCAGCTTTATATGTAGTGTTAGGGAACAATGCAATCTTATTTTCCTCTATATAGGGAGTCAGTTTTCCCAGCAAAATTCATTAAATATCCGTTCTTTCTGCATTGATATGTGGTGATTACTTACTATATATTGAGTTCTTACACATATGTGGGTTTATTTTCATTTTTATTTTTTTAAGATTTTATTTTTAAGTAATCTCTATGCCCAATGTGGGGCTCGAACCCACAACCCCGAGATCAAGAGTTGTATTCTTTTTTTAATTTTTAAAAAATTTTTTTATTTTTGAGAGAGAGGGAGAGAGAGAGAGAGAGAGAGAGAGAGAGAGAGAGGCAACGAGTGTGGGAGGGGCAGAGAGAGAGGGAGAAGGGTGACACAGAATCTGAAGCAGGCTCCAGGCTCGAAGCCATCAGCTGTCAGCACAGAGCCTGATGCGGGGCTCAAACCCACAAACTAGGAGATCATGACCTGAGCTAAAGTCAGACGCTTAACCAGCTGAGCCACCCAGGCACCCCAAGAGTTGTATTCTTAATGTTCTACCAACTGAACCTCCCAGGCGCCCCTGGGCTTATTTTTAAAAGCACACCTATGGTGCCTGCCTGTAGCTGTTTATTTATTTGTATCTTTTCTCTTGATAAGCTCATAGGTCTCTCTAACTAATACATTTGACCCTTGAACAATGTAGGGATTAGGGGATGCCAACCCCCGGAGCAGTGGAAATCCGAGAACAATTTTTGACTTGCCCAAAACTTAACTACAAATAGCCTACTGTTGGCTGGAAGGCGTCCTGATAACCCAAACAGTCGATTAACACATTTTTTTGTACGTTACATGTATTATATACTATATCCTTACAATAAAATAAGCTGGGCAAAAAGAAAATGTTACTAAGAAAATCATAAGGAAAATACACTGACAGTATTGTATTTACAGAAAAAAATCTGCATTTAAGTGGACCCACACATTTCAATTCTGTGCTGTTCAAGTGTTAATTGTACATATTTTCAAAGAACCAAATTTTGCTTTTACTGATTCTCTGTATTTCTTTTGTCATCTATTTCATGGAAAATTTTACGCTTATTTTGGGGCACCTGGCTGGCTCAGTCAGTGGAGTGTGCAATTTTTGATCTTGGGGCCCTGTTCAAGCCCCACAGTGGGTACAGAGACTACTTAAAAATACAATCTTGATAAAAATTTTACTTTTATTTCTTGTTTCTTTAGGTCTGCTCAATTGCTGGCTCTCCGACTTCTTGAGCTAAATGTTTATTCATTTATTTTAAAGTCTATTTATTCTGAGAGAGACAGAGAGAGAGATTGATTGATTGATGTGGGAGGACCGGAGAGGGGGAGAAAGAGAGAGAATCCCAAGCAGGCTCTGCACCGTCAGCACAGAGCCCGACTAGGGGCTCTGTCCCATTAACTGTGAGATCATGACCTGAGCTGAAACCAAGAGTTGGACGCTTAACTGACTAAGCCACCCAGGCACCCCTGTTTACTCATTTAAATCTTTCTTGTCCTGTGGTAGATGTAAGTAAAGCTATATATTTATGTCTCCACTGTTTTAACAATGCTGTTCAGAGTTTGACATGTAATGCTTTCATTGTCATTTAGTTCTAAATATTATAATTTCATACATATATATGTATATATATAAAACCCAAGAGTGTTAAAATAGTAGGTTATTGTTTCCAAACATATGAGATTTTTAATCATCATTTTGTGATTTTTTTTTTTTTTTTTTAGAAGCTTCTCCCTGGTCTTTGTACATAACCCTGTCTATCTCAGAACCAGCACAGGGCATCAAATGCTTGCTGCCAGGTCTTTGATGCAGCCAGGAAAGGTACTCTGTTTTTTAAAAAGTATGTATTTATTTCATTCATGGTGGGGGAGGGGCAGAGAGAGAGGGAGACAAAATCCTGAGCAGGCTCCACACCGTCAGCGCAGAGCCTGACTCAGGGCTCGAACCCACGAACCATGAGATGGTGACCTGAGCCAAAATCAAGAGTTGGACGCTTTACCCACTGAGCCACCCAGGCCCCCTTAAGGTACTCTATTTTTAAAGGCATATGTTTTGTTTTTATTTTTGTTCTGTAAATAGGTTAGACAAAAGGAGGATTGGAAAGTTGTAGAGGTACGTCACATAGTCAAACCCTAAGAAGGTCAAAGGGGCAGCTGGGACTTAGAATAACTGCAACCAAGGATTTGAAAAACCACCCAGACTCTCACCATCCTTTTCTCTGCTTCTGTCTGATGATCAATTTCATTCTCTTTCACTGCATGTGCACCCTAGAAAGACCAGCTCTGCTCGCTCGGAAATTCAAAAACTCCTGGGAAAGGTGCTGATTGGCTGGCCATCTGGGTCAGTTTCCACCCCAGACCAATCAACTGTGGCCAGAAGGATGGGGTCCATAAGAGTCTGGCATCTTCTATGACATCACATTGTTGGAATGTGATAAAAGAGATGTCCCTCCTTTCTTTCTTTCTTCCTTCCTTCCTCCCTCCCTCCTCCCCTCCTGTTCTCTCTCCCTTTTTCTTTCTTTCTCCTTTCTTTCTTTCTTTCTTTCTCTCTCTCTCTCTCTCTCTCCTTTCTTCCTTCCTTCTTCTTTCCTTTCTCCTCTCTTTCTTTTTTTCCTTCCTTCTTTCCTTCCCTTCTTTGAATTCAATTTATCTAAAAACAAAACCAAAACAGTTCACCCATTTCACCCTCCCCCCCAATTATAATTGTTATTGATCAGAGAACATAGTCTGTGTGAATCCTATTCTTCGGTGTTTATTAAAGTTTCCTTCCTTGGCTTCGTACACAGGAAACATTTTGTAAACATCCCACACGTGCTCGAAAGTGCCTATGTGCCCATATGTGTGTACCCTCTGATTTGGGTTGTAGAGTTCTATATAATCCAAGCTTTCCAATTTTGCGTTTTCAATCTTCTAGAACTCTGCCTTTTTGTCATAGTTGCTTCTGCGGGTCAGAAATCTAGGAGCAGCTTGGCTGCGTGGTTCTGGCTCATAATCTCTCATAAGGTTGCAGTCAAAGATGTTAGCCAGGGCTACAGTATCTGAAGACCTGACTGGGGGTGAGGGATCTGTTTCCAAGATTGTCCATTCAGTGGCCAATGGCGGGAGGCCTCAGTTTTTTCCTGGCTGCTGTTTTTTTTTTTTTTTTTTTTTTTTTAATTTTTTTTTCAACGTTTATTTATTTTTGGGACAGAGAGAGACAAAGCATGAACGGGGGAGGGGCAGAGAGAGAGGGAGACACAGAATCTGAAACAGGCTCCAGGCTCTGAGCCATCAGCCCAGAGCCCGACGCGGGGCTCGAACTCACGGACCGCGAGATCGTGACCTGGCTGAAGTTGGACGCTTAACCGACTGCGCCACTCAGGCGCCCCCACATTTTTTTTTTCAACGTTTATTTATTTTTGGGACAGAGAGAGACAGAGCATGAACGGGGGAGGGGCAGAGAGAGAGGGAGACACAGATCGGAAACAGGCTCCAGGCTCTGAGCCATCAGCCCAGAGCCCGACGCGGGGCTCGAACTCACGGACCGCGAGATCGTGACCTGGCTGAAGTCGGACGCTTAACCGACTGCGCCACCCAGGCGGCCCTCCTGGCTGCTGTTAAGAAGGGTTGAGTTCCTCACTACATGGACCTCGCCATGGGGCTCCTTGAGTGTCCTCATGTCGTGACAGATGCCTTTCCCTAGAACAAGTGGTTCAAGAATGTGAGAGAAAGGAAGAACCCATGGTGCCTTTATGACCTAGTCCTGAAGTCACACACCATCCCTTCCATTACAGTCTATTTATAAGCAGTGAGTCAGTACATTCAGCCCACGCTCAAGGAAAGAATTAATCACCTTTTCAAAAGAGGCTTATCAAAGAATTTATGTACATGTTTTATAACCACCCCATGTACTAATATTCTCTCCCAATGTTTTGAAGATGGTTGCTTTAAATTCTTTTCTTTTTAGGTTTATTTTTGAGAGAGAATGCATGAGCAGGGGAGGGGCAGAGAGAGAGAGGGAGACAGAGGATCCAAAGCAGGCTCTGGGCTGACACTAGTGAGCCCAATGGAGGGCTTGAACTCATAAACCATGAGATCATGACCTGAGCCGAAGTCAGATGTTCAACTGACTGAGCCACCCGGGTGCCCGTGTTATTTTACATTCTTATTCATTTTGCTTCATGTGATATAAATTTGGTATCATTTTCTGGATGTGTGCATTCCTTTACATTTTTTTTTAATGTTTATTTATTTTTTGAGAGAGAGAGAGACGGAGCATGAGCAGGGGAGGAGCAGAGAGAGAGACACACACACAGAATCCGAAACAGGCTCCAGGCTCCGAGCTGTCAGCACAGAGCCCGACGCAGGGCTCGAACTCATGAACCGTAAGATCATGACCTGAGCCAAAGTCAGACGCTGGACCGACTGAGCCACCCAGGCGCCCCGACTGTGTGTCCCTTTTTATTTAAACATTTTTTTAACGTTTATTTATTTTTGAGACAGAGAGAGACAGAGCATGAACGGGGGAGGGTCAGAGAGAGAGACACACACAGAATCTGAAACAGGCTCCAGGCTCTGAGACATCAGCACAGAGCCTGACGCGGGGCTTGAACTCACGAACCACGAGATCATGACCTGAGCCGAAGTCGGACGCTTAACCCACTGAGCCACCCAGGCGCCCCTGTGTGTCCCTTTTTAAATGGAAGATGTACCCCTCCAGTATCTGGTATTTTGGTCCATGCACCCTTGTACCCTTGTTCTCTTGTCTTTGGGGACGTCCGTGCCTTTTGGGGATGTCGCACCTCTCTGTGACTTACGGAGAGAGGCTTGGATAAAGCCAGGCGTAGAGCCCCAGGCACCACACAGTCACCACTGATCCCTGTCCTCTCTTCCCGGTTTGTTGCTGGGCCACCCAGCAAAGCCTCCAGCCAAGGATTCACCCTTGACTCTTAGAAGCAGAGCTGCAGGAGGGAAGGCGCCCCGTGGGACGCTACCCCCCCCTGGTGGCCAGAGGAAGAAATGGGGAGAAGTGAGCATCTGAAAGAATCTGGTCAGTGTGCACCTGATTCACTATTTCACACCTGTTTTCATTATCGGGGCGCCGCTGGGGTGCCCTGATGTTACCCCAACACCCGCAACCCCAACTATTGCTCCCAGCTTCTGTCACACAGAGGCGGTGGGGTGTCAATGACCGTCCCAATCCATGTGGAGAAGAAGCAAGAGAAAGACTTAAAAGGGGCACGTGGGTGACACAGTCGGTTGAGCGAGTGACGTCAGCTCAGGTCATGATCTCGCAGTTCGTGAGTTCGGGCCCCACATCAGGCTCGCTCCCATCAGGGCAGAGCCTGCTTCAGATCCTCTGTCCCCTTCCCTCTGCCCCTCCCCGGCTCACGCGCTCGCTCGCTCGCTCTCTCAAAAATACATAAATATTTTAAAGAAAGGAAAAAAAGAGAAAGACTTAAAAGATCTTTTCCATATTACTCAGCCTTAAAAAAGAATGAGCTCTTGCCATCTGTGACGACATAGACGGACCTAGACAGCATTATGCTAATCGAAATGAGTTAGAGAAAGACAAATACCACATGATTTCACTTATACGTGGGATCTAAAAAAAAAAAACAAAACAAAACACAACAAAAAACCAAGAGCAGAAAAAGACCCAGAGAGGGGCGCCTGGGTGGCTCAGTCGGTTAGACAGCCGACTTCAGCTCGGGTCATGATCTCGCAGTTCACGGGTTTGAGCCCCGCATCGGGCTCTGTGCTGACAACTCAGAGCCTGGAGCCTGCTCCGGATTCCGTGTCTCCCTCTCTCTGCGCCCCTCCCCTGCTTGTGCTGTCTCAAAAAGAAACATTAAAATAATAATAAAATAAAATTAAAAAATCTCTTCCGTTCTATCCTCCCACTGCTGTAGCAATCAGGTGGTTGTATCCCCAGGCTGGTGCCCAAATCCCCCAAACAACCACCCTACACACCCTAGCTGGTCTTCCTTGGAACTCTCAAGGTTTCTAGGTGTGTTTCTCAAATCCAAGCTGCTCTCTGCTTCTATAGCTTCTCTGGCGTTTACCTGGTGGACAGGGGCCCATGCTAGATTGCCTTTTCCTGGGGAATCAGGGATTCTTCCGCCCCCCTTCTTTCCCCAAGTCTCTATAAAAGAATGTCGGTAGATTAGATCATACCCTCAAATGCCCTCTGGAGTAGATAGACTGGCTGGCTAAGGGTGAGTGAAGCTGGCTAAGGGTGAGCCAATAGGGAACGGCGGAGCATGGGGTGAATTGCAGTGTGCATGGACATGCTTTATCCGTTGAAGGTAGCGATGCTCCTTGCCAGGCAGGAATGTGGACAGCTGTCATCATGAAGCCAGAAAGGCAGAGTCAGTGGAAAATCTCCCCATTTATTTAAAATGCCTGAGGGTTGAATTCAGCTGGGGGTTGCAGTTTGCCACCCCTGGCATTTTTTTAATGTTTATTTATTTTTGAGAGAGAGAGAGAGAGAGAGAGAGCGCGCGAGAGGGAGAGGGGGAGGGGCAGAGAGAGAAGGAGACACAGACTCCGAAGCAGGCTTCAGGCTCTGAGCTGTCAGCACAGAGCTCGACATGGGGCTCGAACCCATGAACCGTGAGGTCATGAACTGAGCTGAAGTCAGATGCTTAACCGACTGAGCCACCCAGGCACCCCTGCCACCCCCTGGCTTTTTATTTATTTATTTATTTATTTATTTATTTATTTATTATTTATTTTGGGGACAGAGAGAGACAGAGCATGAACGGGGGAGGGGCAGAGAGAGAGGGAGACACAGAATCGGAAACAGGCTCCAGGCTCCGAGCCATCAGCCCAGAGCCCGACGCGGGGCTCGAACTCACGGACCGCGAGATCGTGACCTGGCTGAAGTCGGACGCTTAACCGACTGCGCCACCCAGGCGCCCCACCCCCTGGCTTTTTAAATCCAAAAGGTTCTTTGCAGATTTAACACGCCAGGAGTCCTGGAGTCTAGAGTATTCCCCTAAGTGACCTGCTGGGGTGAGAACTTCCTCAAAAATGGAAACGAGGCTTGTCTGGCATAACCTGTTCTTAACAAGCCCACACTGGAGCCTTGTCCACTTTGCCAGCCTGCACTTCTTAGAATATGCTTGTTCCTCTTTTGGAAAGTCAGAACAACATTTGCCCAGTCAGGTGGGGCCTCACCCGTTCTTAAAAATTCCTCAAAGATTACAAACACTGGGAGGCCTTGGAACTTAACCAGAGAGGCCCTTGTTGATTTTAGAGGTTTTTTTTGAATTCCATTTTTTAAAAATAAGCCTCACCTCATTGTATAGTTTCTCCCAAACCCTCTTGTTACGGTACTCCATCATCATGTAAACAACGTTCGTTCGGACTCTAACATTCAGACCAGGTGTGGACCTCTTCTTCTCTCATATCCCCTTCCTCAACCCACACCAAATCCACACGAAATCCTACCATAGTTGCGTGATCTTAGGCAAATCACCCAAACTCTCCGCACCTCAGTATTCCCTCCTACAAAATGGGACAGTTGAACGGAGTGGTCACTAGGTTTACTTCTATAGCTAAGATTTTAGGTTAGGGATCTCTTTGGCAATTGGCTAAAAACTGTAGACCCTTGTAACACCTGACTGGCTCAGCCGGTAAGGCATAGGACTCTGGATCTCAGGATTGTGAATTTGAGACCCACGTTGGGGATAGAGATTATTTAAAAAAAAAAATTTTTTTTTAACATTTATTTATATTTTGAGACAGGGAGAAACAGAGCATGAACAGGGGAGGGTCAGAGAGAGGAAGACACAGAATCTGAAACAGGCTCCAGGCTCCGAGCCATCAGCACAGAGCCCAATGCGGGGCTCGAACTCACGGACAGTGAGATCGTGACCTGAGCCGAAGTCGGCCGCTTAACTGACTGAGCCACCCAGGCGCCCCAAGCTAGAGATTATTTAAAAAACAAAACTGTGGACTCTTATTTCAGAAAAAAAAAAATGATCACATGGCTTACACTGGTTTACCTTGGTGTGTTTCCCAAGACCACCATTCCATTTTCTTTCAGAGACATTTCTCCCCACTCCAACTATTTGGTTCTAGATGGGCTACCAATAAAATCACCGCCTCCCCCAACTCTGTGCAGAAAAGTGGGCACATGAAGTCCTTTCCTGTTTTTTGTTTCTCTTCTTTCAAATGGAACCAGATGGGAAGAATTCTTTTCCTCTTTGGTAGAAAGTCAAAGGTAAGAGTCCAGATCTGCCTGGGGCCATTTTCCTGCTGGGCAGAGAAAGCCCTTCTCTGTCGGCCATGGAGAGAAAGAGTCTCAGAGGTTGGGGGGATTTGGGAGAAGGGGAGAGAGCGATTTCCTGGCATTTCACTCCTGGATCGAGTTGTTCCTGAAGCCCATTCCTACCTATTCCATCATTTGGTTCAATGAGTTTGAGTTGACTCACCAGAATTTACAGCAAAATGAGTCCAGGTTAGTATAGATACAACCTTATCCTCTTTTATACCATTGACCCTTATTTTTCAATACTGTCCCATTCCTTGTCCTCATTGTCCTGACAAAAGTCTAACTTTTTTAATTTTTTAAACTTTTTTTTAAAGTTTACTTATTTAACTTTGAGAGAGAGAGGGCAGAGAGATGGTGGGGGGGGGGGGGGAGGAAAGAGAGAGAATCCCAAGTAGACTCCCCACTGTCAGCCCAGAGCCCGACAGGGGGCTGGAACTCGAGAACCATGAGATCATGGCCTGCGCTGAAATCAAGAGTCCCACGCTTAATGGACGGAGCCACCAGGCGCCCCAAGTCTAACTTCTTCTAAAGCACCTTGACAACGCATCGTACAACTCCTCACACAAGTGCTCAACTGGTTTTGCCGGAATTAAACAGAATTTTTGTTATTTTCTTACATGTACTCCTGTTATCACCCTCCTTCCCATAAGACTATATGTTTTGGAGAACAAGGACGCTGATCTCTATTTTTTAAAAATTCTGAAAAGCCCTCTGCCCACAGTAGGCACTCACAACACGCTGGAGATTGCGAGGACAGTCGTGGCCCCATCGTGAGAGGAGCCCGCTGACCTGACGCACGGGAACGTCCTTCAACAAGCCAGAATGCGGACAGACTGAGTCACGCAGGTGACGAGGTCACATGGCAAGAGAGACCCTTCCGCCCAGAGTCCTAGGGGTCCGGCCTGGAAGCAGCGCGTACACGGGACGCCCCACAGCATCCCCGTTCCCTTGGGAATTTCAGCCAGCCACGGCTGAAGAGGACAGCAGCTTCTGGAACTTTCCCGGTGAAACGGAACACGTGCCTGAAAAGCCTACATCCTGACAGCAGGGGCTGCGGCCACTGTCTGTTCGGTCACACAGGGGTCCCCGCCCCGAGGCCCCGGGAAGCTCCCGGGATTACACCAGGTTGCTGAGCACACACAGCACACCCAGACGTACAGCAGGGGCCTCGTCGGAGGGCAGGCAGCATCTTACTAATTTACTCACCCGCTTACTCAAGCAATGGCTACTCAAAGCACATGTACTGTCCTGGGTGTATGCGGGGAGCTGGGGACGGATGTGCGAGGGCGGGCTACCACCTGGGAAGCGTTTGGACTCCTGCAAGGAAGGGTCCCTGACGCCCTGGAACCCCGGCTCGGGCGCGGGGAGGGGAGGGGAGGGGAGAGGAGGGGAGAAGGGGAGGGGAGGGGAGGGGAGGGGACAAAGCAGCGGGGCTGCGTGGCCGCTAGGGGGCGCCGGGGAAGAGGGGACGCCTCAACTTCGGGCGACGCCTTTTTCCTCGCCGCCTCTCCCCGGGCAGAGAGGGGGCCACCTCCTCGGGGACCAAGGTGCGGGCCCGTGGGGACGGAGGCGGAACCGACCCGCACCGCCCAGTCTTGTGCTGTGGCCATTTCCGCCACCAGGAAAGGCCGGGGAAGCTCTGTCCCTGCGGGTGAGCTCCGGCAGCCCCGGGGACGTCTGGGCTTCATTACGATTCTCCGCTGGGCCTCTGTCCTGGCCGGTTCTCCAGGCCCCGGGCCAGCTCTGTGTCCCGGCTCTGGCACCGAGGGGATCGGGTGCGAGTGGGGAAGGAGGGGTGGGGAAGGAGTGGGGGAGAAGGACCCACTTCCCCCTACAATGAGCGTGTTGTCTCCGCTACAGGCAGCGGGAGACGCGCTTATGGTCAGGAGCCACCTCAGTTTTTCCAGGTGAGTGGGTGTCCAGGAAGTGCCCCCGGAGTCGCCTCCAGCAGAGTGAGTCACTTACTGGGAAAATGGCAAAAGAATCTATTCACCGAGACCGCAGAGACATTTTGCCCAGCACTTGGAAGCATGTCTTTTTCCGACGCCGCCTCGGTGTCGTCCGTCACTGGCAAGGGGACCCACTGCAGGGGCCAAGGAAAGGATTCCTGGCCGTCAAAGAGCCCTTTGGGCAGCAGAGCGTGGCTGGGATGGTGTCCGCCCCAGGGGGACTCCCCTGCACTTAGAAAGGTCAGTGGAGACGCAATCTCTCATTAAATCCTCAACTCCACCCCGCCTTCTACATCAGTAGAATCCATCGCCTTCTTTTTTTCCTCTATACCCAACGTGGGGCTCGAACTCACAAACCCGAGATCCACAAACGTATGCTTCACCAACAGAACCAGACAGGCACCCACCCCCATTGCCTTTTTTTTTTTTTTTTTTACTGTTTATTTTTGAGAGAGAAAGAGACGCAGGGTATGATCAGGGAAGAGAGAGAGTGGGGGAGATAGATAATTCGAAGCAGGCTCCAGCCTCTGAGCTGTCAGCACAGAGCCCAACACGGGGCTGGAATCCATGAACCATGAGATCATGACCTGAGCCCAAGTCGGAAGTTTAACTGACCGAGCCACCCAGGCGCCCATCCCATTACCTCCTCTGCTGGGTACAGAGCCTCTGCTGGGTCACCCCAAAAAGAATCCCTGTACCCAAGAGCAGCACTCTGTTCCCGCCTCCTTTCAGCTCCTGGAAACTATTTATCTTCTGTTTCCATGGGTTTCTGATTCTGGACATTTCATACGAATAGAACCATACAATATGTGGCCTTTTGGGGCTGGCTTCTTTCATTTATTTTCAAGGCTTGTGCGTGTCGTAGCACATATTATTACTTTATTTCTTTTTGTTGGTGAATAGTATTCCATTGTGTGGATATAGTACTTTGTTTATCCATTCATTAGTCAAGGGACATCTGGGTTGTTTCCATTTTTTGGCTATTAGGAGTAATGCTGTCGTGCACATCAGCATGCACGTTTTTGTATGAACGTAGGTTTTCATTTCTCTTGGGTATGACCTTAGGAGTAGATTTGCTGGGTCATATAATAACTCTATGCTTAAGCTTTTGGGGAACTTCCAGACTGTTTTCCAAAGTGTTGCACCATTTTATTTGCCCACATTCCAATGTCTGAGAGTTCCAATTTCTTCACATCCTCGCTAACACTTTTTATTGTCCGCCTTTTTGGTGATAGCCACCCTAGTTGGTGCAAAGTGGCATCTCACTGCGGTTTGGGTTTGCAGTTCTCCAATGGCTGATGATGTTGAACATCTTTTTGTGTGCCTGTTGGCCATGTGGAGGTCTTCTTTGGAGAAATATCAACTGATTCAATTCCTTTGCCCATATGCCAGTTGGGTTGTCTTTTTGTTGAGTTATAAGCGTTCTTTATATTCTGGGGCATCTGGGTGGCTCAGTCGGTTGAGCATCCCCTCCCCCATGTTTACTTATTTTTGAGAGAGAGAAAGAGCACAAGTGGGGGAGGGGCAGAGAGAGAGAGGGAGACGCACAGAATCCAAAGCAGGCTCCAGGCTCTGAGCTGTCAGCACAGAGTCCAACGCGGGGCTCGAACCCATGAACTGAGAGATCATGACCTGAGTCAAAGTTGGACGCTTAACTGACTGAGCCACCCAGGTGCCCCTGAGCCTCCTACTCTAGCTCAGCTCAGGTCTTGATCTCAGGGTTGTGAATTTGAGCCCTGCGTTGGGCTCCATATTGGGCTTGGAGCCTACTTTAAAAAAAAAAAAAAAAAAAAAGAAAGAAAAAAAGAGTTATTTATATTCTGGATATTAGACTGCTATCAGGCATGCGATTTGCAAGTATTTTCTCCCATTCAGTGAGGTTTTTCACTCTAAGAACTATTTTATTTTTAATTAATTACCATACTCAATGTGGGGCTCAAACTCACAACCTCGAGATCAAGAGTCACACGCTCCACCGACTGAGCCAGCCAGGCGTCACTTTTTTGTTAGTGTCTTTTGAAGTACAAAAGTTTCTGGTTTTGATAAAGCCCAATTTCTGTTTTTTCTTTTGTTGCTTGTGCTTTGTCATACATGAGAAACCATTGTTTAATCCAAGTTCACAAAAATTTACTACTGTTTTCTTCTAAAGAGTTTTATCATTTTAGCTCTTATGTTTAGATTTTGATCCATTTTTATTTATTTATTTTTTTAACGTTTATTTATTTTTGAGACAGAGAGAGGCAGAGCATGAATGGGGGAGGGTCAGAGAGAGGGAGACACAGAATCTGAAACAGGCTCCAGGCTCTGAGCTGTCAGCACAGAGCCCGACGCGGGGCTCGAACTCACAGACCGCGAGATCATGACCTGAGCCGAAGTCGGCCGCTTAACCGACTGAGCCACCCAGGCACCCCAGGATTTTGATCCCTTTTTAATTTTTTTTAAGTTTATTTATTTTGAGAGAAAGAGCGTGAGCTCAAGCAGGGGAGGGGCAGGGAGAGAGGGAGGAAGAATGTCAAGCAGGCTCCATGCTGTCAGTGCAGAGCCTGATGCAGGGCTCAAACTCACAAACTGAGATCATGACCTGATCCAAAACCAAGAGTCAGATGCCCAACTGACTGAGCCACCTGGGCGCCTCATGGATGTCCTTTTTTTCCCTGATGGCTGAATAATATTCCATTGTGTATACACAACACATCTTTATCCATTCATCCGTTGACAAACGTTTAGGTTGGTTCCACGTCTTGGCTATTGTGAATAATGCTGCAGTGACCATGGGGGTGTGGGTATCTCTTTGAGATACTGATTTCATTTCCTTTGGATAAATACTCAGAAATGGAATTGCTGGATCATAGGGTAGCTCTATTTTAAAATTGTTGAGACTCTTCCCCACTGGTTTTCACAGTGGCTGCACAATTTACATTCTCATCAATAGTGCACTGGTGTCTTCTCCTCTCATAAGGGATCAATCCTGTCGAATTAGAGTCCTACCCTTATAACCTCATTCAACCTAATTACTTCCTAGAGGCCCCGTCTCCAAGCTATGCTGAGGGTTGAAGCTTCAACATGTGAATTTTGGGAGACACCAGCATTCGGTCCCTAATATCCCCTCTTTCTTTTTACTTTTGTGATGTGGCCACTAGAACATTTAAAATTACATACACTGTTCACATTTTATTTCTAATGGCAACACCAGTCCAGATGTTGGCTTTAAAAATTGAAAACCAGGGGTGCCTGGGTGGCTCAGTCGGGTAAGCATTCGACTCCTCATTTCGGCTCAGGTCATGATCTCACAGTTTGTGGGTTCGACCCCGTGTTAGGCTCTGTGCTGATGGCACGGAGACTGCTTGGGATGCTGTCTCTTCTTCTCTCTGTGCTTCCCCTGCTTGTCCTCTCTCTCTCTCTCTCTCTCTCAAAATAAATAAATAAACTTAAAAAAAATGAGAACCCATTATAGCGGGCTGAATGGTGGCCCTCCCCCCAAATATATTCATGTGTGAAACCTGTAAATGTGACCTTATTTGGAAAAAGGAGCTTTAGAGATATAATTAAGCTAAGGATCTTGAGATGAGATCATCCTGGATTTTCTGGGCGAGCACTGTTTCTAATGACAGATGTCCTTTTAAGGACCCACAGAGCAGACACAGAGGAGGAGGAGAAAGCAACATGGCCATGGGGACGGAGATTGGAGGCACACAGCCACAAGCACTTTGCCTGAATGTGTTGCTTTGACTCTTAGCTCGTCTCTCTTGGCTTTTCCACGGTCTCAGATGAGCAACCTGGTGGCCTCCCAGGTGATGACTTATGCCGAATTATGCCTGAAGGCACCAGAAGCTGGAAGAGGCAAAGAAAGATGAGTCTTTGGAGGCAGCATGGCCTTGCCAACACCTTGATTTCAGATTTCTGGCCTCCAGGACTGGGAGAGAAGAAATTTCTCTTAAGCCACCAAGCTTATGGCAATTTTGTTATAGCAACTCCAGGAAATAAATACCAGAAGTATCATTTATAATTTTAGGACAAAGAATTGTTATCGGATCCCCCAAGAAGTCCATGGACTTCTTTCCACTACACGTGTGTTGCCTGAAAGAGATGTGCTAAGAATCAAGATCAAGTGGACTCTTGCTTATGATGCTCTGTCTAGTTCTCGGTATTAGCTTGTGCTGGATCAGTGGTTGCTTTTGGGTGGAGAGGCTCCACGGGGAGGAGACGCGAGGGAATTTCCTCGGGTGATAGAAATGTTTCTCC